ATCGATATACTGTTTTTTGGACAATTTTGGTAAATAATAAGATCTGGAGTCACCAAACTTGACATATAGCTTCTAAAATAGAATATATATATGCACTTGATGTTGGAAGAAGAGGGTTCAGGGTATCGCCTAGTCGGGAGCTCCCGACTAGAACCTCTTATTTGTTATTTATTACTTGAGCATTCTTAAATCTGTGACTTTTTCTTAATCAAAATATATAGACCAAATTTATCAAATATCTTATCAATCTTATCAACATCGGACCACTATCACTATCATATAGCTGGCATAGGAACGAGTGGTCGAAAATTAGGTTCTTGCAAAGACAACTTTAGGTTTCCCTATTCTCCTTAAATATAGGTAGAATCTTATTAACATCTGATCACTATATCATAGTAGGTTCTTGTTTAGAAAACTTTTGTTTTTAGCAAACTTCTTGACCAAACTATCACTATTTCCCATATATAGGCAAATTCTTGGCAACAGCTGTCATAGGATTGGTCTAGAATTTTAAGTTATCTTGACCTTATTCGGCATATTAAAGTTCCACTATGATCTCTACAAATACGTAAAGTCCTATCCACATCTGACTGCTATAACATATATCTGCAGGCAGTACAAGTAGATTCTTGTATAGAAAACTTTACTTGAAGCTAGTTAAGTATACCCTACTATTTTACTGAGTATTTCCCAGCACTCGACTCGATGCAAACTTTCCTGACTTGTTTTTTAGTTGTTATGCAATAAATTAAAATGCAAGCCAAAAAAAAAACATCTGCATTAAAATATTAAAATCTAAATTTATAGTGAAACATATATGTTGAGAGTCGGTTATTGATTCGTTGGCCGCCTCGAGGAGTGGGTAACGAGAGAGACCATTTCCCTCGCCTGGAGACACACCTGTGAATACGTGACCTTTCAATTTATGCGAGCATCGAAGCAAATCGAAAACATTTTTTATGCCCGCATAAAATTTATGACCAGTCGCCAGTGGGCCTCCCACAGCATATATCGACATGACTGTGCCACATACCACCACATACTGCCACAGAGTCCGCCGTATTGCCCTCCAGTTCCTCGCGCTCTCTTGTGCCTCATTCGTTTTTCCGTTTCGCCTGCAGCATTTTGAAATTTGTCTGACAAATATTTGCCTGCCAGCGCTGGCGATAAAGCGTTTTTCGCGATGCCCTCCACAAAACGCTGTCACGGTCAGTGGCTCGAGCCTTCGGGCTTTGATATAGGCGACCAATTTGTGAATATATCGAAATTGAACTCACGCTTTAAACGAACAATTGTTCTTGCCAAGACTTAACCAGTCGGCAATACAAAAACCCAATTTTCATCGGAATGTCCCTGGGCAAGCTAAGCGCATTTTCGCTTATAATTCTCAAATGGTTTTGGTCTCGACTTGGGAGCTTCGATATAGACACTATTATGTCAATATATCGAAATTGAGTTCACGCTTTTAGCTTTCCAATTGTTCTTGCCAACCTTAACTAGCCGGCCATACAAAAACCCAATTTTCGTCGGAATCTCCCTAGGCGAGCTAAGCGCATTTTCGCTTATAATTCTCAAATGGTTTTGCTAATGCAGTTAACTGCAAATTGACTTTTGCTGGCCTAGTTCTTCTGACTGCGAGCCTCAGACAACTAGTCGTTAGTTAGTTAGGACAGTTTGAGTCACAAATCACAGTCACATACCAGCTCAACATACACGCACACACACACACTAACTCATATGTGGTGTGTGACTGGCAGATGTATGATAGCACTCTGCTGTGTGTGTGTGTGTGTGTGTGTGTGGGTTTCTGTGTGCACACTCATTCAAATTTATGCCTAAGCGCTGATTATGACAAATATGCCACGCTTCACTGGCTGCGATTCGCCAAAGGGGCACCGGGGTACGGGGCACAACCCAGAAAGTCGACCCCATAAAGCGCTTATTGTGTTTAGCTTGGCCTGTTTTTTGCCTTCTGCTCGGTCATTTTACGCAAATCCCAAAATAAATACAAGTCTTATTATTAGCATCAGGCACAGGCACACAGGATACACACAGCCGCGCCCCAAATAAATAAAATAAGCCAAAAGCAAAAATAAAATAAAAGGCAGACAGGAGGAGGGGGGGGGGGGGGGGGGGGGTTGGGAACGAAACTCCTGCCCCACCTGCTACCCTACTAATGACACATATCATCATGGAGAGCTGTGCTGAGGGCTTCTCTGGGCATCCCGACATGCGAGACGATGCGTGTCAACAATTATAATGTGCAAATTGTTTGATGTATGTCACCTGCCACATTTGCTTTATTGCCGCTCATTAGAAATGCTCAACGAGCACCTTTAACAGGGAGACAAACAAAATAAAAAATAAATAAAATACAAATACAAATACCAACTCACACACACGCCCACCCACACACGCACATATCAACAACGGATGACAACAATGACACCTTCCATTAATAGCTGTTTCGTTGATGTGTGTAATGCTGACATGCACTGCGAGAAAATCTCAATAGCAAAAAGTACTTTTAAATGTTTCGGAACAAATCCCGTTATAAGGTGTACCTAATTGTACATCATATTACTGTTAACACTCATTCATTTTCATTTATTAATTGTTAATTTCTTATTGAAAATTGTTTCTGGATTTGAACCAGCGCCCTTTCGCTTGTTAGTTCTATCTGGCAAACTTCATTGCTTTATTTTAAATTTGTTGCCTTTTCTTTTTGTGAACAACAACAAATTTTGTGTAATAAATGTAGCTATCAACATTTGTTGGTGGGTTTGAACCAGCGATATTATACATGTTAGTCCTATCAGACTTCATTGCTTTACTTTTCTTTTATTGATTTATTTTGTGTAAATAACAACAACAGCTATTTCAAATAACTGCTGGATTAGAACCAGCGACCTTCCGCTTGTTGGTCCTAACTAGAAGGATTGATTTCCTTATTTTTAATTTAATGGTATTTTGTTTTCTGAAGAACAACAGATATAACTATAAAAAAGTGCTCCTGAGTTTGAACCAGCGACCTTGCGCTTGGTAGTTCCATCTGGCAGACTTGCAAAGCAGAATATAAATTCAAGAACATTTATCGCCACGAAAATGCCATTCAAGTTAAAAAAGTTTCTACACATTTTGAGCAATGTATGCGTACGTTTGCCTTTAAGACGTATTAGTTTTGCCGCAGTTCGAAGCGAAGCCCGCCTCATGTCTTATGGAGGTTTAGCTGCGATTAATGACAGCACATCACAAAGATTTCGCTGGTTGGCTTCAGCGGGGCAGAGGGCAATTCGGGGGCCGGGGTCAACTGCTGTGACATTGTGATGAATGGAAACAGTTGCGGGGCGTATCTACCATTCCGTGTACACGGAATTTATGTGAACTGAACTCTCGCGTTGTGTGTGCCTGAAAGAATAGCCAAACAGCAATTTGGGCACATGATTTTGCATACAAATTGTCCTGCAGGACAATTGTGGGAGTTGGTGGATATTCCATTAATTTGTTGACTTGCGTGGAATGGTTGTCAGCTGTTAAGCACAAATATTACGTATACGCCGCACAATTGTTAAAAGCAATTTCGGACCATATCTGGGCATGAAAACAATCAGCGAGCTTAACGAAATGATGGAACCCAAAAAACCAACAATGGCATCCATAACTAAGCCCAGCCTAGCCCCAAACAAAAACACACAAAACAGAAACTCACAGCCACACACAGACACAGGGGAAAAAAAAAGTGAAAAAAGGATTATTTTTGATTATTTTGCGTGCCACAAAACAAATTCGTCGTTTTTTTTTTTTTGACCATTGTTAGTGCTCGGCCTGGTTTGAGCAAAGCGAGATAACATTCAAGCCGACTTTCTGCCTAAATAACAAAAAAAAAAAAAAAAGGGGGAAAATGTACTGGAGCGGTTTTTAATGGAGCTGGTAACAAGCGAAATGAATGAGCCGCAACCGGCTGCTCTTCATTTCAATGAACGAAATTGTATCATGTCCGGACGAGGGGACCGACGCATTTCTCTTCTTCTGGTTTCAGATGCCCAGTAAATTATATTTTATCGAAGGGTTGCTTTAATCTGAAGTGCATTTAAGGGAAATAGAAAATGTTGCGATTATCTGAATAATTTATAATTTAAATGAAAATGTCAAATCAAGCAGTGTTGCGTAACAGCAGCCAGGTGTTGTGCCAGCAAGGTGTGCTAATACAAACAGTGTGGACTAACAGCAGACAAACTGCCAGGCATGCTATTACGAAAACAGTGTTGAGCAACATCACCTAAGCTGCAAGGTATGCCATTACAGAAACAGTGTTGAGTAACAGCAGCCAAACAACAAGGTATGCTAATACATATACAGTGTTGAGTAACAGCAGATAAGCTGCAAGGTATGCTATTACAATAACAGTGTTGAGTAACAGTATGTAATTGGGCAACACTAGAAAGAGCACGTCTAATAAAAAATAACTATTTTAATATGTTTATATCTAGCTGAGTGCTTAAAGCAATTTTTGGATGCAAATCGAGCAGTGTTGAGTAATAGAGAAAAGAGGGTTGAATAAGCTTTTTGAAAGCAAAAACTAATCTAGCAAAACTAAGCTTAACTCAAGCTGACAACTGTGTTCATGGAACAAAGAAGCGTCTCCAGTGCCTACTTGGAGTAGAGTAAAGACTTTAAGGAATTTAGAGGCTCCTTAGATGCTCATAGTAGCACCTAGGGTATACCCAAGTCGAAAGGGTATATACAAGTTGAAAGCCAGCCGAGTAATATGAATAACAAAAAGTCCTTATGCGTGTGGACTCGAGCGGCAACAAATAACAAGAAAACGAAGAATAACAACAACAACACCAAAAAAAGCGACAACAAAGTATGAAACGAAATGCTCAGCGTGTGCATTAAACAAATCTAAGGCAACATTTTCACAAAAACTTGCTTATTTTACTCAATATGCTGCGACTGCTCTCTAAGCTCTCACACTCTGCTTCTTCTCTTTGCTACAGACATACAATCCTTGTGGCTAACGAGCTGGTTTGGCTCCCACAACAACAACAGCAACAGCAGCAGCAACAGCAACAACAACAACAGGAGAAGGAAACAGCAAAAAGACGCCGGCTCTGTCGATGCTGGCGTTTACACGCTACAACAGCCGCATAAATTTCCGCTTCAATTGGACGTGTACGGCGGTAATTGCAGCTTTGATTACCAGCAACACGAACTGCCATCCGGACATTACCAACAACAGCAGCAACAGCAAGAGCGACAACAACAACTAGAACGCGCCGCATCAGCAGCTCAAGAGCAATCAACACTTTCCATACAGCATCTAAAACAGCTGAAAAATCAGGGCAAAAGGCAGCGGCAACAGCAGGCGGAGCAGTGGAGATTTTTAAGAATTTCCTCCGATATTAACGAGACGAAATTTATTGAAAGTTCAGCGGGTAATGTTAAATAACAACAACAACAACAACGAGAACAACAACAACTCGCAGCTGTGGCTGCCTGAACGTATTTCCATCAATCAGAATTTAAATTAATTTTCTTTTATTTTTATTATTATTATTTTTGCCTGCCCCTTGAAAAGTTGAAATGAGCGAACAGCAGGCGTTCCCATGCTGCAGCATGCGGCATCAGAATCAGAATCAATGTATAATTGGGGGCAACAGAAATTTGCATACTTTTATTATTTGCGCGCATATTAAACGAATTTTCAGTTTGTGCCGCCCACAAAAGTAGGCTACAATATTTGAAATTATTAAATAAGCACATGAATCTTCAATGAAAAAGTTAACTAAAATGTCAGCTTGCAAATTCCATAAAGCTTAAAGTGGAATGTGAGTGGAAGACAACTATTTTGTAAGCAGACAATGCAAGTTGCATGTGGCCCATTCTAAAGGCGAATTTATAATTGGAGATTTTACGAGAGAGAGAATTTACGGGAACACAAAAAGATATTAAAAAAAGATATCTTTTTATAGTTTTTCTTTGGGTTATTTAAAATAACATGCTTTGTCAAGTTTTTCTCTTTAATTGACATATAGGAAGAAGATTTTGGGAGCATATTTATGTTTATGTTTGGAGTTTTTCAAGAGATTTCGGGAACACAAAAAGACATTATGTTTCTTACAGTAAACACTTTTTTATAGTTTTTCTTTGGGATATTTAAAATAACATGCTTTGTGATGTTTTTCTCTTTAATTGACATATAGAAAGAAGATTTAGGGAGCACATTTTAGATAGATGGCGATTTAGGAGAGAAATGAAAAGCAATTCCAGCACTTTTGAATGACAAAAAACTTGTTTATAGATTAGATTATACAACAAGAAAACATTTAAAAAAGAAAGGGCTTTTTATTAGCTTTTGGGAGTGCTTTTAAAATTACAGACTATAAAATTAGTTTTAGAAGAGCAATTACATGATTTCCCAGAGGTTTCAGCTGTTTTTAGTAGAGAAAAGCAAAGAGTTTTGTTTCACAGTTTTAGTGCTTAGTTTATTTCACATTTAGCGTCTTATTATTTTCCTGGAATTACTAAACCGTTAAATTGAGATGCAGCAAATGTTTGTCATGCCAATTAATTCGATAATTTTGTAATTTATTTCGTAAAACAGCTCAAACAATGGACGATATGGTTTATCAATGCAGCAATCAGAACTCGATTTACGTACTCAATGCCGGCTACAATCCAACATACGGCGTAAGTTTTTTCAGAAAATCTTTAGGGTCAAATTGTTTGGTCAAGTGTCGATTTTTTGCAGGAGCTTGGCGCACATGCGTTGGCAGCAACAGGGCGTGAAATGAATGGCAGCAGCAGCAGCAGCTCGGGCAGCAGAACAACAAGCAATTCAATTGGGGCAAGTTGTTCAAGTGCCGCCTGCAGTTTGCAGCATAAATTCAAAACTTTTGGCACAGCCAACGCCAACTCGTCAGCTGCGGCAGCAACAGCCACATCAACAATAACAAACCCAGCAGCAGCGGCAACAACAACAACGAGCTACGTAAATCCGATCGCTACATCAATGTCAACCGCAATGTGTTCACCGGCAACGGCAGCGCTGCAGAAATTGTTCAATTGCAACGTCACAGTCGGCGGCGGCGTTGGATCCATTGGCGACAACTGCCAAAATGTCAGCCACAGAAATCAGCAGCAGGGCCACAGCAACAGCAGCAACAACAACAACAATTGCCCAGTCGGGAGCCGTAACAATAGCTGCCTGTCAGCAACAGCCTCGCATAGATGCCGCTGCGTTGCGCACGAGGACGCTGCAAATGGAACTGGCAATGGAAATGGAAATGGGAGTGGATGTGGATGTAAAAGTGGATGTGGAAGTGGAAACGGTGTGGCAACAGCAGCAGGTGCACTTCCGTTGCTTGGCGCCGTGGCCAACAGGAAGAAATGCACCAATGTCAAATCAACGCTTATTGCCAAGAAGACAAAGTTTTTGAAAATTCTCGAAGAAGAGAAATGGCGCAGCAACCAGCAGCAGCAGCAGCCGCAGCAGCAGCTGACACCGGATGAGGCGGAAGCTTGCGGTGCCACACAGCAGCCCAGCAGGTAGGTACTTGCCACAGCACCACCCCCCCCCCCTACCTCACCCAGCCGCAGTCTCCTCTCCTGCACTACTCTGTGGCAAAACTTATAAATTCTCATAAATGTTATAAGGCATATTGCGGTGCTAAAATTGTGGGCAACTTTTTTTATAGGAGGGGGGCACAAGTTTATTGGACCAACGGAATTTGGCGAGTTGCTTTCTGGCGCCCACCTCCGGCTGCTCCTGGTCTTTGGTCCAACAAAGTATGCGCTGGCATGACAACAACTTTGTCATTAAGTTGGCCACGCAGATATGAGACTTGGCCAAAGCGAAGGCTAAATAAAAATCTTATTGGAGACAGTATTGACAGGCTCGAACGATTGCAGCAATCGAAAGCAAACGATTTAACGCAATTGAGAGCCTCTGAATACATGTAATTGATAGGAATGAGAGCTTATCGAAATGCGAGATTATGGAAATGTGAGATTATCGAAATATGAGATTATCGAAATGCAAAATTATCGAAATGGGAGATTATCGAAAAGAGAGATTATCGAAATGAGAGATTATCGAAAAGTGAGATTATCGAAGTGAGAGACTATCGAAATGAGGGATTATCGATACAACAGATAATCGAAATGAGAGATTTGGAAATAATCCCTTATCGATATATGCAATATATATCTATATATATAAGATCAAGTCTTGAATGAATGCTGATGAATTTCATTTATAAAGATTTAATTGTAGACTAAAGATAGATTTCATATATTAAAAACATTTGATTGAAGACTAAGAATTTAAGACATGCCACCAAATTGGAATCTACATTCTTGGGCTTTGAGCTTTAAGTACGCTTTATTGTAAGCAGCCGAAACCAGCTTAAAGCTTGTGCTTTAAAGCTATCTTTAGTATTTTGTAGAACAAGGCAGAGTCGAGCCGTCAATGAGCTATTTTAGCATTCAATTCAATTGTTGAATAAGTCTATCAAGTGGCTGCTGTTGAACACTAAATACATGTACTCAGGCTTAATCTAATATTTATTGCTAATACCCTCGATTTGATTAGATTTTTTTTCGACTGCACGCATAAAATGCTCCATAAATATTTAGTTTTATCTCTCGATTTATTATTTATTTGGATGTTTTGAAGAGTAGCCAAAGTCATCAACACGTTCGGTGCCCTGGGGAGAGGAAGGACGCATCTTTATGACAGTCACGCCGCAAAATGAGTTCAACTTGGCGCTAACTTGTTTTCTGTGCTGGCTGCCACATTGCCCAGCGGCTGTTTAAACGCATTCAATTAGCTGTCCACGATGTGGCACTGACTACTTCGCATAGCCCCGCACAGCCCCGACTCACCCCGTCCCTTGTTTAGCCAGTGCCAGTTTTGTTGCATTGTTCATGAAGTCATAAGTTTTGATCATCAGCGCTTAGCACGGACTAACTTTTTGTACGACGTGGGGCGTGAGACGGTGTGTGGCAGGTGTATGGATGGGGGGAAAGTGGCCTGTACAGGGCATAGTCGTTTAGTTGGCTCAGCCATTTGCGAAATTGAAAAATTAACGCGCTAACAGAAAGTCGGTGAAGCGCTTAAAGTGCCAATAGGGTCCATACCCAACAGCAGGGGGCTGGTGGAAGGGTGGGGTAGGGCTTCTGCCTGCCTGCCTGCCTGCCTGCCTGGCATCATAAAGTTGATTAAAATGCATGCCACACACATGTTGCAGCTTGCAAGTTGCAACAGCAACAGCAGCAGCAGTTTGGCTGCCTGCACACAATATTGAAGTGCAATAATCATATTTCAATAGCTAAAGAGCTGCCGGAGATTTGTGGGCGTGGCTGCACAAAAATAAAAGTTAACGCCAAACTTGCATTTTGCCAGCAGCCACTACCCTTTACCAACCACCCCCCCCCCCTCCCCCCACCCCCTTTTACGCTTCTAACATTTGCTGACAAACACAAAGGAGCCCAAAAATAATTTGCGCCAACTTCCTCACAGAGCTCACGAGTCCTAGCCTAGTAATTATGTCAAAGTTCAAAGCGTTGAATATTTCATTAGTCGCAACCGAGCGCGGTGCAACAGCGCGGGGCAGGAAGGGGGGCATGGTCGCGGGGCCCTTGAAGCACCAAAGTTCCTTTGATTTATTAGCGACTTTAATTAGAACGAGCCGTCTGCAGGGAAATGCACTCGGCCTTTTACTTTGCCCCGTTTTTTACAGTTGATTACAAGAGAATTCGCTGCGCGCATTCATCAAGTCTGGGATGCGTAAGAGAAGGGCGGCTGGTAGCCGGGAGGGTCACGGCGCTTGGCGACAACTCCATCAAGTTGCTTCGAGTGTGCCAAGATAACTTTGCGAAACATTTTCTTTGAATTAAAAAAAAAAAAAAAGAAAAAAAGTTTGTCGCTCAGTTTGCAACTATTTTGCATTTCTGCGTCGCAACCCCTTAACGCCTCCCTCCCCTCCAGCCGCGCTCCACTGTCATGAACTGATAAGCGGCTCTCAGCGCAAGGACAGGCGACTCTTTTCTTAATGGCCTCCACTGCAGCTGGTGCCACCCGAAAGGCCCAGGTGCAAGGGTGGATAGCAGGATCTTTCAGGAACTTTCAGTTGCACTACGCATAATTTAACAGCTGCCAACAGTGTGGCAACCCTGAAAGATATACAGCACATTTGATGGCAGCCCTAAAATACACACACTACATTAGATGGCAACCCTGAAGCGTATATATCACATTAGCATTGACAGCCCATTGCAACCTAAACAAAAATACTGTTTAAATAAAAAATACTCTATCTGATCGGAATGCGGTATTTTTGTAGTTTATCGCAAGTGGGAACTCTTCCTTTTTCCGATATGCATAAATATAATGCTTCTTAATACGTTCTTTAGGCGAATTTCATACTATTTTCATATACTCGTATATCTAAATGTACCTTTAACAGAAAACTTATGCATTAAAGATGCCTCTAATCATTTCTGGACTTCTTCAGCGTTTCTTCAGCTTTTAAGTAGCGACCTCTGCCCAGGTCTAGATATGCGTAACGTTGAATTACTTTGCCGCAGGTAATATTATCTAATTCTACATAAACTTCACTTAAAATTAAGTTGTCGAAAAGCCCATTTTGCCCAGCTTTAAGTTCTTTAAAAGCGACTAAAGCTTAGGTTTGAATTAAAGCGCGCTGAATAATGTGCTACGTTTTATTTCAATTTGCATACCTCTGGTACTCATCCGCGTCCTTCGCCATATCCTGGCCCACTATTGCCGCCCCCTTAGTGGATACGCTTCCTGTATTGCCTGCTCCCGGTTCCTGTTCATTTGTGCATTGGGCGTTTAGTTTAGTCAACCAAAAGCTAAATACAGGACGAGTAAACTTTTCATTTCAGGGCCAACAGCAATAGGGCGGATCCCCACGCAGCGTCCACGTCCACTTCAACGGCCGCATCATCATTTGCAGCTCACTCAGCCGGCAAGGATAACAACAGCAACATGAAAAATCACAACAGCAACAACAACAACAGTCAAGAGGCAGCAGGCGTGGGAGCTGGAGCTGGAGCAGAACAACAGCAAAATAAATTGAACAATTGGAGCATGCATAATGACAACAACAACAAGTTGGCCAACTACACGCAACAACAGGAACGCGGAGCGGGCGAACGGAAGCTGGAGAGTTATAAACAAGCCAACAGGTCCTCCAGCTATGAGCTGTACCAGGAGGCGGCGGACATACTAGGACTGAGCTGCAGCCTCTGTGATAATTGCCGTTGCTTGGACTGCCAGGTGCGTATTTTCAGAGTTAAGAAGGCGTTAGATAGAGGGCCAACTCAACCCCCTGCATCCACAAAACTAAACAAGTATTACAACCCACAGAGCGGGTACTTTGATTGCGCCGATGATGATGACGAGAGCTACTCGGAGCAATCACTGATGGATGAGTACGACGATGAATACGACTATGGCTATGGCTACGAAGAGCAGATGCTGCTCCCGTCCGGCCACACTAATCAGTCAGCCATGACACAGGCGGAGGGGCAGCGGCAGCGAGTCTCGGAACAGGAGCAGCAGTTAGAGCTGTGCTATGCAGTTGATTGCCAACAGAATTGCAGCAAAGTTGACGGCCCACCAGAGTCGCAGGAGTCCGGATCCGAGTGGATGTCGAAGTCTGAGCAACGCTTGGCCATAGATTTTGATTTAATTAATGCAACCAGCAGCCAAGTGCTGGAAAATTGTTCAACATTCAACGATTTAAGTTTATTGGATGCCGAGCAGCAAGCGAAGCCATTTACGTAAATTAAGGTGGGTGTAAGGTGTGTGTGTGTGAGTGTATGGGTGTGTGTGTGTGTGTGTGTGTGAGTGTGTGTATGGGTGTGTGTGTGTGTGTGTCGTTTGCATGCCTTGCATACTTTAAGCCATAATCCTTTAGCAAATATAGTCAACAAAAGAGCGTTAGCATAGAAAGTCATGTTTCCGGTTTCACTTTTGTTTCACTTACACTGAAATGCATAGCAAAAGTTTTGCTACACTTAACACCATACTAGACTGCATCGCAGGTTGTAAGCAGCATTTGTGCAATCCAACCTGAGCTTTGAACCTTGAACTAATTTAAAACATTTCGCAAATTCCATTGTAAAACAGTTCAGAGCTCAACATGGTTTCCATCATTATATTTTCAAATTTCAATTTCGCTTTACTTTTGCATAACATACACTTGAGAGCCTGTAACACCATAACAGTCTACACTCCACTTCAGCCCTGAACATAGCGCTAATTTTAACTTCAACACATTGTTTAATTCAAAATTCATTTTTGTGTACATACGAACATAAGCAAAAAGTGTGTGTGAAACACCATACCAGCCTCGATTTCAATTTAGATGCCAAATCAAAATCGGACGAGATTTGACTGAGTGGGAAGCTCGGACTATGTCTATATAGCAAATTTGAGGGGAGCATTTTTACATGAATTTCGACCAAAAATAATGCTGTCAGATCTATTTGCACAATTGATCTAGAGGCCAAACCGTGAATAAAAAACCAAACCTCTTGAAAATCGGATGAGATTTGACTGAGTTATGGGGTTGGGAAATTTCGACCTACGTCCATATGCGATATTTGAGGGTACCATTTTAACATGAATTTGAACCAAAAATTATGTTGTCAGATTTAGATGCACAATTGATCTAGAGGCCAAACCGTGAACAAAAAACCAAACCTCTTGAAAATCGGAAGAGATTTGACCGAGTTATGGGGTTGGGAAATTTAGACCTATGTCTATATGCGATATTTGAGGGTACCATTTTTACATGAATTTGGACCAAAAATTATGTTGTCAGATTTAGATGCACAATTGATCTAGAGGCCAAACCGTGAACAAAAAACCAAACCTCTTGAAAATCGGATGAGATTTGACTGAGTTATGGGGTTGGGAAACTTCGACCTATGTCTTTATGCGATATTTGAGGGTACCATTTTTACATGAATTTGGACCAAAAATTATGTTGTCAGATTTAGATGCACAATTGATCTAGAGGCCAAACCGTGAACAAAAAACCAAACCTCTTGAAAATCGGATGAGATTTGACCGAGTTATGGGGTTGGGAAATTTAGACCTATGTCTATATGCGATATTTGAGGGTACCATTTTTACATGAATTTGGACCAAAAATTATGTTGTCAGATTTAGATGCACAATTGATCTAGAGGCCAAACCGTGAACAAAGAACCTAACCTCTTGAAAATCGGATGAGATTTGACCGAGTTATGGGGTTGGGAAATTTCGACCTATGTCTATATGCCGTGAATAAATATTTGAGGGTACCATTTTTACATGATTTTGGACTAAAAATTATGTTGTCAGATTTAGATGCACAATTGATCTAGAGGCCAAGCCATGAACAAAAAGACAAACCTTATGGAAATCGGATGAGTTTTGACCGAGTTATGGGGTTGGGAAACTTCGACCTATGTCTATATGCGAAATTTGAGGGTACCATTTTTACATGAATTTGCACCAAAAATTATGTTGTCAGATTTAGATGCACAATTGATCTAGAGGCCAAACCGTGAACAAAGAACCAAACCTTATGGAAATCGGATGAGATTTGACTGAGTTATGGGGTTGGGAAACTTCGACCTATGTCTATATGCGATATTTGAGGGTACCATTTCTACATGAATTTGGACCAAAAATTATGTTGTCAGATTTAGATGCACAATTGATCTAGAGGTCAAGCCATGAACAAAAAACCAAACCTCTTGAAAATCGGATGAGATTTGACCGAGTTATGGGGTTGTGAAATTTCGACCTATGTCTATATGCGATATTTGAGGGTACCATTTCTACATGAATTTGGACCAAAAATTATGTTGTCAGATTTAGATGCACAATTGATCTAGAGGTCAAGCCATGAACAAAAAACCAAACCTCTTGAAAATCGGATGAGATTTGACCGAGTTATGGGGTTGGGAAATTTCGACCTATGTCTATATGCGATATTTGAGGGTACCATTTCTACATGAATTTGGACCAAAAATTATGTTGTCAGATTTAGATGCACAATTGATCTAGAGGTCAAGCCATGAACAAAAAACCAAACCTCTTGAAAATCGGATGAGATTTGACCGAGTTATGGGGTTGGGAAATTTCGACCTATGTCCATATGCGATATTTGAGGGTACCATTTCTACATGAATTTGGACCAAAAATTATGTTGTCAGATTTAGATGCACAATTGATCTAGAGGCCAAACCGTGAACAAAAAACCAAACCTCTTGAAAATCGGATGAGATTTGACCGAGTTATGGGGTTGGGAAATTTCGACCTATGTCTATATGCGAAATTTGAGGGTACCAATTCTACATGAATTTGGACCAAAAATTATGTTGTCAGATTTAGATGCACAATTGATCTAGAGGTCAAGCCATGAACAAAAAACCAAACCTCTTGAAAATCGGATGAGATTTGACCGAGTTATGGGGTTGGGAAATTTCGACCTATGTCCATATGCGATATTTGAGGGTACCATTTTAACATGAATTTGGACCAAAAATTATGTTGTCAGATTTAGATGCACAATTGATCTAGAGGCCAAACCGTGAACAAAAAACCAAACCTCTTGAAAATCGGATGAGATTTGACCGAGTTATGGGGCTGGAAAATTTCGACCTATGTCCATATGCGATATTTGAGGGTACCATTTTAACATGAATTTGAACCAAAAATTATGTTGTCAGATTTAGATGCACAATTGATCTAGAGGCCAAACCGTGAACAAAAAACCAAACCTCTTGAAAATCGGATGAGATTTGACTGAGTTATGGGGTTGGGAAACTTCGACCTATGTCTATATGCGATATTTGAGGGTACCATTTCTACATGAATTTGAACCAAAAATTATGTTGTCAGATTTAGATGCACAATTGATCTAGAGGCCAAACCGTGAACAAAAAACCAAACCTCTTGAAAATCGGATGAGATTTGACCGAGTTATGGGGTTGGGAAATTTCGACCTATGTCTATATGCGAAATTTGAGGGTACCAATTCTACATGAATTTGGACCAAAAATTATGTTGTCAGATTTAGATGCACAATTGATCTAGAGGTCAAGCCATGAACAAAAAACCAAACCTCTTGAAAATCGGATGAGATTTGACCGAGTTATGGGGTTGGGAAATTTCGACCTATGTCCATATGCGATATTTGAGGGTACCATTTTAACATGAATTTGGACCAAAAATTATGTTGTCAGATTTAGATGCACAATTGATCTAGAGGCCAAACCGTGAACAAAAAACCAAACCTCTTGAAAATCGGATGAGATTTGACTGAGTTATGGGGTTGGGAAACTTCGACCTATGTCTATATGCGATATTTGAGGGTACCATTTTTACATGAATTTGGAACAAAAATTATGTTGTCAGATTTAGATGCACAATTGATCTAGAGGCCAAACCGTGAACAAAAAACCAAACATCTTGAAAATCGGATGAGATTTGACCGAGTTATGGGGCTGGGAAATTTCGACCTATGTCCATATGCGATATTTGAGGGTACCATTTTAACATGAATTTGAACCAAAAATTATGTTGTCAGATTTAGATGCACAATTGATCTAGAGGCCAAACCGTGAACAAAAAACCAAACCTCTTGAAAATCGGATGAGATTTGACCGAGTTATGGGGTTGGGAAATTTCGACCTATGTCTATATGCGAAATTTGAGGGTACCAATTCTACATGAATTTGGACCAAAAATTATGTTGTCAGATTTAGATGCACAATTGATCTAGAGGTCAAGCCATGAACAAAAAACCAAACCTCTTGAAAATCGGATGAGATTTGACCGAGTTATGGGGTTGGGAAATTTCGACCTATGTCCATATGCGATATTTGAGGGTACCATTTTAACATGAATTTGGACCAAAAATTATGTTGTCAGATTTAGATGCACAATTGATCTAGAGGCCAAACCGTGAACAAAAAACCAAACCTCTTGAAAATCGGATGAGATTTGACCGAGTTATGGGGCTGGAAAATTTCGACCTATGTCCATATGCGATATTTGAGGGTACCATTTTAACATGAATTTGAACCAAAAATTATGTTGTCAGATTTAGATGCACAATTGATCTAGAGGCCAAACCGTGAACAAAAAACCAAACCTCTTGAAAATCGGATGAGATTTGACTGAGTTATGGGGTTGGGAAACTTCGACCTATGTCTATATGCGATATTTGAGGGTACCATTTCTACATGAATTTGAACCAAAAATTATGTTGTCAGATTTAGATGCACAATTGATCTAGAGGCCAAACCGTGAACAAAAAACCAAACCTCTTGAAAATCGGATGAGATTTGACCGAGTTATGGGGTTGGGAAATTTCGACCTATGTCTATATGCGAAATTTGAGGGTACCAATTCTACATGAATTTGGACCAAAAATTATGTTGTCAGATTTAGATGCACAATTGATCTAGAGGTCAAGCCATGAACAAAAAACCAAACCTCTTGAAAATCGGATGAGATTTGACCGAGTTATGGGGTTGGGAAATTTCGACCTATGTCCATATGCGATATTTGAGGGTACCATTTTAACATGAATTTGGACCAAAAATTATGTTGTCAGATTTAGATGCACAATTGATCTAGAGGCCAAACCGTGAACAAAAAACCAAACCTCTTGAAAATCGGATGAGATTTGACTGAGTTATGGGGTTGGGAAACTTCGACCTATGTCTATATGCGATATTTGAGGGTACCATTTTTACATGAATTTGGAACAAAAATTATGTTGTCAG